AAACAAGAAAGATTTTCTTTCTTTTTCTTTTTGTTTCTCACGTGAAGCAACACAATAAATGATGGAGTGAGCTTTGATTTTATAATTAAGGAGTTTAGAAAAAATGTAACTCCCACCATTAACCATTGGAATTAATCATGGCATTTGTGGTGTGTTAATGGTGATTAATTAGCCATTAACACGTCCGTTACGCTACGCTCCGTTTAAAATTTGTCACGAATAATTGGAGATTAATGGCCAGTTAACTCCGTAAAAATGGACTAATTTTAAACAATACGTAAAATTAATAAAAGAAGATTGGTTCAGTAAAATTGCAAAAATTGGAATCCTCACCATATTCTTTTATTATCGGGTTAACTCTAAGAATCAATTTCTCATTTACCCTCTACCATTTTTGGCGTAATATTTGTCAAAACATTTATCTCATTTAAGAGAAAACACGTCCATTAATTAACGGTTAAAACCGTTAGTGGACCTATTGACAAATATACCCTAGTTGGTCCATTTAATGCCAATTAAAAATGCCAAAAATTCCAACAATCTCCCACATGAATGAAAAATTGATTTGGGGTCGACAACATCCCATGGTTGAAAACCTGCAAAGAACATGTAAGTGTCTCCACTTTTGAACATGTCCCTTTTAAAGTATACCTTCTTTACTGGCTGTTCAGTAGAACGCGATGTCTTTGAATTGTACTGCCGCTTATGTAAACGATAGTATACTATACACAGATTCTAACTAAACGCCGTTCTCTTCTCATGGTTGTGCCCATTTTGGTCGTGGGACACGCGCCTATTTCTGCGAGAGTGTTTAGAAGATTAAGCCCAAGATCCTCCGTTTGAAGCGACCACACTTCACTCTTACATAGGTGATTCTTTAAGAGTATCCTGATTACTCCCCTTAGATCACCGTGTCTATTGGTTAAGAATCATTAAAGCATATTTGTATGCTAACCTCATCATTTCCGGGAGTCACTGTCTTGAGCAGGAACAGAAGGGATTGACCGAAGGTTCCGGTACCGCCCCCACAGTGACCTCGCTTTATCCTACAAGTAGGTTGTCCCATTGAACCTGGGTATCAGCCAGGTTGGGTTTTCCTTCATAGGACAGTCCTAGCACAAACTCATTCCTGCCACCAACTTCTCATGCAACTCATTTGTTAACCCTTTGGTTAGCGGATCCGCTAGATTATCTTTTGACTTTACATAGTCAATTGTGATAATCCCAGTTGTGAGAAGTTGTCTAATGGTTTTGTGTCTACGACGAATATGTCTAGACTTACCATTATACATATTACTCTTTGCACGTCCTATTGCTGATTGACAATCACAATAGATGCAAACTGGTGGGACCGGTTTATCCCATCTTGGAATGTCTTCTAGGAAGTGGTGTAGCCATTCAGCTTCCTCTCCACATTTGTCTAGAGCTATAAACTCAGACTCCATGGTGGACCTAGAAATCACTATTTGCTTTGAGGATTTCCAAGATATTGCTGCACCAGCTAGCGTAAAGACATATCCACTTGTGGACTTCAAGTCTTTACTATAAGATATCCAATTTGCATCCGAGTATCCTTCCAATACCGGTGGATATCTCGAGTAGCATAATCCATAGTCACGTGTATACCGCAGGTATCTCATCACACGTACAATAGCCTTCTAGTGCTCATCATTGAGATTGCTGGTGTATTTACTCAGCTTACTTATGGCACAGGCTAAATCTGGTCGAGTGCAACTCATTAGATACATCAAACTTCCAATAACTCTCGCATACTCGATTTGAGAGTTACTGGAACCTCGGTTTTTAGCCAGGTGTGCATTGACGTCCAACGGCGTCTTTGCTACTCTAATGTCATCCTTGTTGAACTTGGCAAGGATTTTATCAATATAATGGGATTGGCTCAGTGCTAGACCCCCAGGTCTTCTCACAATTTTAATTCCAAGAATTACTTCAGCCAGACCCATATCTTTCATGTCAAATCGCGAGTTTAACATGTCTTTGGTAGACTTGACCATTTTGTCATCACTACCAACTATGAGTATGTCATCTACATATACACATAACATGACATACCCTTGGGATGTGTTTTTTAGATAAACACACTTGTCTGATTCATTAATTTTGAACTCAGAGTTCATCATTACCTGGTCAAACTTCTCATGCCATACTTTTGGCACCTGTTTAAGACCATATAATGACTTAACAAGTTTACATACTTTCCTTTCTTGACCAGGAACTATAAACCCTTCTGGTTGTTCCATGTAGATCTCTTCTTCTAGATTTCCATTGAGGAAAGCTGTTTTCACATCCATTTGATGTACTTCTAAGTTCCGCAAGGAAGCTATTGCAAGTATCATCCTAATGGAATTAATCCTTGATTCCATTATCGTGTTCTTATGTATTTCTGCATTATCAGACCTATACACTAAGAATCGATACGCGCTACCACTGTAGCCAATAAAGATTCCATCAACAATCTTTGGACCAATCTTTATTTTCTTTGGTGGTGGTGGTGCTAAAACTTTTGCAAGGCACCCCCACACTTTCAGGTATTTATAGGAAGGTTTCCTATTATACCACAACTCGTAAGGAGTCTTATCAAGTTTCTTTTGGGGTATTTTATTTAACAAATAATTGCTAGATAAAATAGCCTCCCCCCACATATTTTGGGGTAGCCCCGAACTAAGCAACATCACATTCATCATATCTTTGAGAGTGCGATTTTTCCGTTCCGCCACACCGTTTGACTGAGGTGTGTATGGTGGAGTTACCTGATGCACATTTCCATGTTGTGCACACAATTCGGCGAATGGAGTTTCGTACTCCCTGCCCCTATCACTCCTAATCACTTTAATTTTGCGATTGAGTTGATTTTCTACTTCATTCTTATACCGAATGAAAGTGTCCAATGCCTCATCTTTACTTTTAAGTAAATAAATATAACAATACTTCGTGCTATCATCGACAAAAGTGATAACATATTTGTTACCACCTCTTGAAGGCGTTGATTTGAAATCACACAGATCCGTGTGAATTAAATCCAGTGGCTGAGTGGTTCGTTCAATTGTTTGAAACGAACTTCGTGTTGACTTTGCTTCGACACACGTCTCACATTTGTGGGACAAGTCGATGTCAAACTTAGGGATATATTCCATGTTAATTAATTTCCGAAGAGATGCATAATTAACATGTCTTAGTCTTCCATGCCACACATCGGAAGACTCGCAAACATAGGCAACATGAGTTTTATTAACTTTCTCAACAACAGTGAATACATTAAGCTTAAAAAGCCCATCAGAAATATAACCTTTTCCTATGTATATTCCCTTTTTGCTCAAGATCAGCTTATCAGACTCGAACACCATGCGGAATCCATGTTTGTTCAATAGTGAGCCTGACACCAAGTTCTTTCGTATGTCCGGCACATACAACACATCATTCAGCGTGAGCTCCTTGCCGGATGTCATCTTGAGCTTAACTTTGCTCACGCCTTGAACCTCGGACTGGGCAGAGTTGCCCATCCACACCTTGTCGCCATAAGTCTCCTTAAAGTCAAAGAGCATGGCCCGATTGGAGCAGATATGACAAGTGGCTCTAGTGTCAACCCACCACTCTTTCGGGTTAGACCCGACCAGGTTGACCTCTGTCACGACAGCACAAAGGTCCATAGCATCTAGCTCCGAGCAAAGAGGTTCTTCCTTCTTCTGCTTCTTCTTCTGAGGCTTCTTGCGGCACTCTGAAGAACGGTGGCCCGTAATGCCACAGTTGTAGCATTTCCCCGCGAACTTGGTCTTCGCGACGCCTCCTTTAGGACCAATTTTCTTCTTGTCCTTATTTGGCTTGGGCCCTTTGGAAGAACCCTCTTTGGGTGGATGCTCCACCACATTGGCCTTAGCAACAACTACTTTCTTCTCGCGAGTGAGACCCTCCTCACGGATCCGGAGACGAACAAGCAACTGCTCTAAAGTCATCTCTTTCCGTTTGAGCTTGAGATAGCTCCGGAACTCATCCCAAGCCGGCGGGAGCACATGGATAATTGCCGCGACTTGGAATGCCTCACTGACTCCCATTCCCTCGTCAGTGCACTCATTAAAAATAAGAATCAATTCTTCAGCTTGACTGACCACGGGTTTGGAATCCACCATCTTAAAATCCAAGACCTTACCGACAACGAATTTCTTCGCACCGGCGTCCTCGGCCTGGTATTTGTTGGACAGTGTAGTCCATAACTCCTTTGCGGGTGCAGCCCTGCTATAAACAGCATATAAGGCATCGCTCAAGCAATTCAGGATAAGGTTAAGGCACGTATAGTTATTTGCTATCCATGCCTCTTTAGCCTGAACTGTTGGCTCGTCCGCGTTCTCCCCCACAACAGGGGGATCCTCCCTCAAATACCTCGTAAGGTTGAGGGTGGTCAGCCAAAATAACATCCTTTGCTGCCATATTTTAAATCCAACACCTGTGAACTTTTCCGGTTCTTTGACAGAGTTCGCAGGCAGCATGACAGTAGGATGTCCGACCGGTGCGGATGTGAAGACACCCGTGTTCGGTCCAAGTGAGGGAATGACCGGTATGGCCGAAGCCATATTCGGGCTGAGTGAGGTGACCATTGTGGCTGTAGCCGCGGTTGGTCCAATAACCGAGGTGACCGGAGCGGACCCCATAGTCGCGCTCGATCCAACGAAGGTGGTGATCGGAGTGGACCCCATGACCGCACTCGATCCGAAAGGAATGTTGATCAGAATGGTATGCCCAACAGAGCCACCCAATCTAGCCGAAACGTTCACAGCCGGAGTCTCGGAACTACTCCTGTTTCCGGTGTGAGCGTCAAAACCGAATCCGTCCATACCCGCCATTGCGCACAGATATGACTACTACCTTAAGATTGTTACAATTCTCGTATGGATTACAACGGACGGGGAAGATGAACGGCCCCGGAAATAAATAAATAAATAAAATTCTGAATTTATAATTTATTCAGAATATTACAAAATAAACAAAGTTGAAAATAAATTTCTATATTTTCAAACGGCCTTGTTGTACGAGGACATTAAGGACTAGACAGCGAGGTCTTTAAGCACTAGACAGCGAGGTCTTTAAGCACTGGACAGCGATTCAAGGACGTTATGCACAGGGCTGCGAGGACATTATGCACTATGACAGAATGCAGCGAGGTCTTTATGAACTGAACCTGCAAAAACACAATACCGTGTGGAAAGCGATTCAAGGACGTTATGCACATGGCTGCAAGGACATTATGCACTGGGCTGCGAGGACATTATGCACTATGACAGAATGAAGCGAGGTCTTTATTAACTGAACCTGCAAAAACACAATACCGTGGAAGGACAGCGGAGTCGCCGGAGTTGTCCTTAAGGTAGTAGTGCCCGCCTACCGTACCGGAAAAACGAGGGCACTCCTCTCCCAGGATAAAACCGCTATCGTGTGTGGAGATTGTACGGACCAACCACACACCGACGAACAAGAACAACGTAGGAACGTTGGCGACCAAAAACTTTAAAGGGGATGGCCGAAAATTTGGCCGGAAAACCAAAAGCTCTCTCAAAAAATAAAACAAGAAAGATTTTCTTTCTTTTTCTTTTTGTTTCTCACGTGAAGCAACACAATAAATGATGGAGTGAGCTTTGATTTTATAATTAAGGAGTTTAGAAAAAATGTAACTCCCACCATTAACCATTGGAATTAATCATGGCATTTGTGGTGTGTTAATGGTGATTAATTAGCCATTAACACGTCCGTTACGCTACGCTCCGTTTAAAATTTGTCCCAAATAATTAGAGATTAATGGCCAGTTAACTCCGTAAAAAGGACTAATTTTAAACAATACGTAAAATTAATAAAAGAAGATTGGTTCAGTAAAATTGCAAAAATTGGAATCCTCACCATATTCTTTTATTATCGGGTTAACTCTGAGATCAATTTCTCATTTACTCTCTACCATTTTTGGCGTAATATTTGTCAAAACATTTATCTCATTTAAGAGAAAACACGTCCATTAATTAACGGTTAAAACCGTTAGTGGACCTATTGACAAATATACCCTAGTTGGTCCATTTAATGCCAATTAAAAATGCTAAAAATTCCAACATCTACACTCTTTTTTTCCTTTTTTTTCTTCCTCTTTTTTGGAAGATCCCCTGACCCCCCCTCTCTCATCGTCGTGAGACCCCGTGGTTTCAGATCTTGCATACCGATCAGCGGCGAAGGAACAAAGGTAAAAAAGAGCTGGCTATAAGACGGCAGCAGAAAACATTTCCCCCCATTTCTTCCTCTTCTTCAATGGCGGAACCAATTTAGGTTTTTTTACATGGACCTAAGCTTTGGGTGAGACTATTCATATATATCGGAATGAAATTGGGAGTTTTAGTTTGTTTTTCTTTAGCTTGGGGTGATTCCTGGTTTTGATTTGTACTTTGAAGAGAAGATAAAATTGATTTGACGTGATAAACTAGACAGGTCAGAGTGTTAGACAATGAAGGCCTGAGCCCTTAGGGGAAGGGAAAAAGTGGAAACTCATCATATTTTTTACTTTACATTAAAACCCATGCCAAGTCAAAACGAGAAATTTCAACTCGGACGGAGGGAGTATTACTCTAGAATTGTGCAATCTGAGTTATGATTCTCAATTTACAATCTTCCATCCCCTCTTCTATCTAGCTAGAATCTCGATCTTAACAACCTTGCATGCATCTGTGCACTCATTAGTTGGCATGAAATGTCTTTGATGCAGGTGTTTCTCAGCATGTTAGTGTTAGTGAGGGCTATTTCTCTTGACTTACCACTATGGCATCGCATTCTTGAAATTCTGAGGGTAATTCCAAAATTTGCTCACTGTCAGATATGAAAATGACTTCCACATGTACAAACCAATATCTAGTAATTTGAACCTTTGAAACATGCAGGGTTTTTGTGTTGAGGCACACACTTTGCGAATACTTTTTCAGAATTTTGACATGTATGTTTATCTGCCTGGGTGTTTCTTTGGCACAAATTTGAAACCTTTAAATTTGCAGGGAATTTCTATTATGAAGTCAATCCGGATGACTACTAGAAGATTTCATGTTGTTCCACTGTCAAGCAAATGTGGGACAAGCTAGAAATCACATATAAAGGTACGGATCATGTCCAAGAAGCTAAAATAGATTTTTTAACCCACGAATATGAATTATTTCTTATGAAGGAGAACGAGAAAATCAACGATATGTTTGAACGATTTGCAAAATTCATAAACGATCTTCGCGCTCTCAAGAAGACACATACGGGCAAGGAGCTTGCGAGAATAATCCTATGGAGTCTCACACCAGAGTGGCGTTCCAAGGCCAATGCTGTTCAAGAGTTCATCGGCATCACCAACGTTACCATCGATGGTAATCTCAAAACCTACAAGTCTACTATTCTTTATCCCTCTCTAGTTGAACAAAAAAAGAAGGGGATTGCACTCAAGGCTTCTAGAAGCTAAGAACATGCCGTGGAGGACTGTAGTGACGAAGAGAACGAGTTCGGGCTCGTGATTAAGAAGTTTCATAAGTTCATGCATAAAGAGTATGAACGGAGAGGAAAGAAGCTAAGCAAGAAGGACCACCCAAATGCTATGGGTGTGGAGAAGTCGGGCATATCAAACCAAAATGCCCAACTACCAAAAATGAGAAGGAAAAGAAGATGTTCAAAAAGCACCGTGCATCCATCTATTGTGGAGGAGATTCCGGCAATGAGTCTTCGTATGGCGAAGAAAACGAGAGCGCTAACCTTTGCCTCATGGCACATGAGAAACCACCAGAGTTATGTACCACTTCTTCTAAAGAACCTTATACTTTTGATGATATGCAAGACGCTTTTAATGAACTTTACGATGAGTCCTAATAGAACAATAAAACAATAAGACGCTCAACCTAGGAAAAATAAAACAAGTCCTAATAGAACAATAGAACAATAGGACGCTCAACCTAGGAAAAAGAAAACAAGTCCTAATAGACAACCTAAATTAATT